TACTGAAGCCAAGGGGCAATCGCCTCATTTGGGGAGGGGGTTTAGGCAGAGACCCAGGCTGTGACCCAAATCCCTTTCAGTTTATACCATGGTCAATAACCTTCCATAGGTACATGTAGCATCCTATCCACTGGTAGAATAGAATGCAGAATCATCTGCTGAACGTCCAGACACCAGATATGACATATCTGCCTGTGATGGTTAAAGAGATATTGCTTTCTGCTCTCGTGTAGATATTATCTTGGGATGTAAGGTATCAGGTGACTCGCATTAAACTGACCTATCTGAATATATGCTTTGTTTTATTGTATCTGTTCCGTGCTGGGAGTTATGAAATTGTATGAAAAAGTGGTTCCAAGTGGGATGTATGTTTTACTGCTGTTTCAGAATGCTTTTCAAATCCAGTGACTGACGGGTTTATAGCTTTACGATCCTGCCAGAGCAAGAGGCTGACAGAAACCCTGGAACCAGCTAATTGGGATTACAACTATGAACTGTATCCAGCTGTGCCCTGTGCACTTCTGAACTCAGCACACACACGGACCACATGCCATTCAACAAAAAGGGAGGGGGACTGATTTGGAGTGAGAATGACACAAGATGGTGGATCTTAAGCAAAATGTATGTCCACGTCCATATCTGTACGTACGATTGCTACATTTCTTTTTTTTTTTGCTTTCTTTGTTTGAACTCCCCCCGTGTTCCTACCAGTCCCTGTTCTTTCCTATCAAAAATTGACCATGGTAAGCATGAGAGCACTGCGCTTTACCTAGGATCACTCCATAAAATCCTCCCTCTTTTTATTCTGAGAGGAAAGGGAGGGTTCGCAAAAGTAATTAGTAGTGGTGTTTACATTTATGAACACTGTAATTGGCTATCACAGTGATCACGTGGAACTCTAATTCGCTCTGTGCATTTTGCATGTGATCTGAGCTGTTCAATGACCCTTCACGCTGGGCATACACACAAGTAGTAAACAGTTTTACGTTTAAAACCAGCTCTCTGGAATACCTTGCCCACCCTTCCGCCATTTTATAATATATGGTGGTAGGCAAGTGGTTAAAGAATATGTAATCCCAACATGTCACATTCCTAATATGTGCCTGCTGTACTATGTACTTGTATGAAAAATTATCCTGTTCTCTTTGTATCTCAACTGTTCCAATTCAGGTGTATCCAAGGACGGCAACCTGGGAGCCATCCAAATGTTGGAATACAGTGTTCATGTATATTGTGCAACAACTACATCAGTATTCAGTAGAGATATATTCTTTACCAGTAGATGGCAGTGTTTATAAGTTTGAAGCTGCATCTTATGTATGTATACTCTATGACTTTTCTCTGAGTAAAGTTTCCTGGTTGCAGTCAAGGAAGCAAAAAAGCACACGTGGACTGTGCACTGTCTGTTCTGTAGGGCTATATAAAGAATTTCTAACACCAAAGCAAAGTCCTACTGTGATGGTGGATTTAGGATAACTTCTGAGATTTTGCCTCGGCCCTCTTTAGGGCCTACATTCCCCAGGTGACCCAAAGGATCCACACCCTCAATGATGGAAGCTTTGATTCTGCCTCTCTTTGCCTCACCATTTTGAATACTAAAAATGACAGGTGCACTTGAAGTCACTGGCTTTATGCAGAATTTTAACATCTAATTCTGCTCTTTGCAAACCATTGAGAGCTCATTCTTTCAAGTAAAATTAGAAATTTGAGACTTCAAAAAGTGTTCTCTGCAAACAAGGTGCCAACTTTGCAGACCTGCGGGGAAAAATGTGTGAAATATTTGGAAATGTAAAATGTGTCTACTTTATTGTGGACAAAGTGCCGGCTGTACCATCAACGCTGGAATGTTTCTTTTGGTTTCCATTGCCGATCCAGCCACAAGCTGCCCGTAAAGACGACAATTCAGCTCGATCAGCAAAGTCGGGTTTCAAAGAAAAGTCTTATTTTAAGTATTTGACATTTAGTGATGTTTTACAGGCAAGTTAAACAAAGCTATCGATAGAGTTCTTCGTCCAATCACAGTTGCCAGGCGGTTTTGAAATGTTAGAGTGATTTGGCGCTCCTGGAGTTGAGGAATTCGTTTATGAGCTAAATTCGCCTACGTCTCTGGAATTCAAATTTACGTTTATGACCGTAGTTTATTTTTTGATAGCTCTCTGTGAAAGTAAAAACAGGCAACAAAAAGTCTAACAAATGTCGCATTTTAGTATCCAAGAGGGGCATTAAACACTTATTAAATCGATCCTCAAGAAATTGCAAAAGATATATTTACAAACTTCACAGGAAGCTAAATATGAACCACAGATCATGTATTAATATATAATATATATATGCAGTATGTAAAACACACAAGTACATACAGATGTACACAAAGCTGCTCATAACTGAATCACCAGATCACGCTTGCATTAAACTACAAACACTTTCCCCAAAATACCGTACAAACATTGTTTGTAATTAAAGTGTAACTAAAGTAAAAAATCAAAAATGAATGCGTTGCAGAAGTAAAAATGAAAGGTTTTGATTATGATCTTTCAAAAGAGTTTCAATTTATTCCCCCAAAATACCTTGTTATTCTGCAAGAGAACTTGAATCTCAAAGACTGCCTTTAGATCAGTAGCTCTCTCCAACAAGCTGTCCAAAATATATCCTTTATAGCCACCATTTTCCACAGTTATAGACTACAAGTATATATTTCCCCGCATATGCGTCAGTATTTCATTCCAGCTGGAGCTTGTAACTATGGATCAGTCACTATAGTAATGCAGAAAAAGAGGATTTAGGTACATCCCTTTAAGGGAAATAGACCACTATGCTACCTGGGTAATGAATTTCCGCACTTGAAAAAAAAGAGGACAGGAGGAAGATGTACAAGATGTGCTGACACAACAATTATGCAGGTAACTAAAACTATTCTATTGAATTTAATCATTATGCTGAAAGGATAACTCCACTTTCATGAAAAAAAATATATAGCATATACAGTACAACTGCTACACAAGCTATATTGTAATGTAATGTTATTTAAAAAAAATCTAAAACAAAAGACAATTCAGGAGGTAATGGAGGTGCCTAGAGAGGAATGCTTAACCTCCCTAGCGGTCTAATTATGTCAGTATTTCTGTGCTCAAAGCGGTACATTGTTTTCAATGGAAATATGTTTTTTTTTTATTGTAGGCCTTTAATTCTTAGGAATAACTCACTGAATCTGTCCGAACAAGAGTCTAGTAAACATCCTGAGTATGATAAAGTTTGAAACACCAAATCATAAATTATAATATAATAAATAATCATAAAAAAAATAATAATATAATAATAATAAATTTAATTCAGTGATGTAATCAAACCAAAAACAAAGAAATTTGAAATATAGCGCCAAGTTCGCACATCACTGAGCAAAGTCGCAAATTCGTTTTTAGTGTCTGATGACAAATTTCCCCACGAATCATTATCATTCAATTCTGCAAGTGATTCTAATTTACTATCACTGTTCTCATGCTGGTCTAAAACCGCTTTTGACCTAAAGGGACGCTTTTTGGACGCCATGGACATTTCTCAGTTTCCAGGCAGAAAGAACAGTAAAAATGCAGGCAGTGCACAGGACAAAGCACTCGGGACAAAATGTATGTGAAATGGTTTGATACAGTAATGTAATACTATCAGGTTTTAGTGTATTGAGAGAATGTTAAATTTTTATATTTTTTAAATTCCCGCCGGTTCCATCCCCCTTACTTACCGTATGTCTCAATGTTCTCAGGGAACAGAAACCAGAAGACGGATGCCAGCATCGGCTGGAGGACATGGCCGGGGATGCTGCAGGGGGGACATCGCAGAACCGCAGGACAAGGTAAGTGCTCGAGGGATCCCAGAGCAAAGCTGCAGTGTAATCCCGAGTGTAGCTCGGGCTTACCGCTTTGGTACCGAAACTTAACCCCCGAGCTACACTCGGGAATACCACCAGGGGGGTTAAGAGAAAAAAAAACACAAATAGTACTAATAAAAGTGGGGCTTAATTCCTGATTTCCATGTACAATACAAGGAGGTTGAGGCTATTTTTAGGAGACACTGGCACATCCTGCATATGGAAAGGTTGTTAGGTCCGGTGCTTCCAGAAAATTCACCTTTTATTTTCCCGGAGAGCCCCTAATTTGGGGATCAGGTGGTTAAAAAGATTCTAGACCCCCCTAAGAAACAGATGACATTTTGGAATAAGAAAGGTTTCTTTGCCTGTCGAAAATGTTATGCTTGTAAACAGGTAAATGAACGATTAAGGGGTATAACCAGCTTTACATCTTCAGCAAACAATAAGGAATTTAAAATCTCCGAATTTATTACATGTAACACCACTCATGTGGTATACACTTTGGAATGTCCTTGTGAGCTTATGTATATAGGTTGCACAAAAAGACCCCTTAAAAAAAGAACATCGAAACACATATATAACATTGGAATAGGATATAAGTACCATAGCGTTTTGTTACATTTTAGTGCCATAAAAGGGATCCTGCTGGTTTAAAATTTTGGGGTAGATAGGATCTTGCCTTAGTGGAGGGGTGGTAAAATTGTGAGGGATTTATCTAAAAGAGAAAAAAAATGGAAATAATATGGCAGATACATTAACTCCTAAGGGTCTGAACATTGAAATTGACATCAACTGTTTTATTAGCGACTATTAACCTCCCTGGCGGTATGATTATGTCAGGAATTTTGTACCAAAAGCGGTACCATTTTTTTGCATGGAAATATGTATTTTTTTTATTGTAGGCCTGTAACTTAGGAATAACTCCCTGAAATCTGTCCAAACAAGAGTCTAGTAAACATTCCGGATATGATAAAACTTGAAAACACGAAATCATAAATTATAATTTAATAAATACTCATAAAAAATAATAATATAATAATAATACATTTAATTCAATAATATAATCAAACCAAAAACACTGAATTTTGAAATATAGCGCCAAGTTCGCACATCACTGAGCAAAGTCGCAAAATCGTTTTCAGTGTCTGATGACGAATTTCCCCACAAATCATTATCACTCAATTCTGCAAGTGGTTCTGATTTACTATCGCTGTTCTCTAGCTGGTCTAAAACCAATTTTGACCTAAAGGGACGCTTTTTGGATGCCGTGGATTTTCTAAGTTTCCAGGCAGAAAGAATAGTCAAAATGCAGCAGGCAGGGGACAGGACAAAGCAGTAGGGACAAAATGTATGTGAAATGCTTTGATACAGGAATGTTTTGCTATGAAATAATCGTTTTAAAAAAAAATGTCATTTTTTTAAAATTTTCAAATTTGCCGCCGGTTCCGGCACCCGTACGTCCCGACGTCACAGGGACCAGAACACGGAAGCCAGATGCCGGCATCGGCCGGAGGTCCCAACGTCACAGGGACCAGAACACGGAAGCCAGATGCCGGCATCGGCCAGAGGAGGTGGCCGGGGACGCTGCAGGGGACGCATCATAGGAGCGAAGGACAAGGTAAGCGCTGCAGGGAATCCCTGTGCAACACCGCATGGTAAGCCCGAGTGTAGCTTGGGGTTACCGCTTTTGGTACTGAAACTTTACCCCAAGCTACACTCGGGAATACCGCCAGGGAGTTAAATAGATTTCAGTACTGAGCTCATAATATTAGGGACTTATTTTAAAGTTTAATGCGTTGAATTTTTTGTGTATTAAGGTTATTATGTATTTTACCCAAATTTTAAATAATATTTGTGATGTAAAGAGATTGATTATAGACAGATCGAGGGACAAAGTGTGGTTTGATGCACGATTATTCTATGGAGGTCTCTTAATTGAGATCTGTTAAAATTGTTTATCACATTGGATATAAGTAGATGTAATATGATGTGTGACCACTAGATGTCTCTGTCTGGATACCACTGTGGTTAATAGAATAGAATGGACATTGGTGGACAAAGGAGTATAAAGTGTTAAACACCAAAAGAGGTCAGTTATAAATAAGGGAACGCCATGCCGTTTAGCCATTCCCTCAGAAGAAGTCGTAAGGACAAAACATTAGGGACGTGGCTAAATGGCGTGAAGGAAGGAAGTAACGTCAGTTCGTGGATCGACAGGGTGGTGACAGTCCTGATGTTCACCCTACTGAACATCTATGGGATGAAGTGGAATGCCGATTGGGAACTAGGTCTACTGATAGCAACATAAACCCGACAGATGTTCTTACCCTTCATAAATATGCAAAGTTGCCTGTTTTCAGTCCCTCAAAAAACAGTATTGCTCCCTTTCAGGCCCCTTTCACAGCTTCAATTTTTGTAGATGAAGCACTCAACATAAAAAATACCTTCATTTTAGATTGTACCTGCCACTGGAAAAAGTACAAGTGCTTTTCAGACAGATTTAGACATTTTCGGTCCTTTAAAAAATGCCCGGAAATGCATGTTTTCCAGGCACTCCTATAATAAAAATCTATGTGAACAAAACCAAATTATCCTGCCCCAAAGAAATTCCTCTATAGTCAATTGCTCCTAAAATGCATAGAAAGGTGCAAAAAGCATTAAAAAGCCTCCTTTAAAATTACTTGAATATGCTATGCTCAAGTGTGAATGTGGCCTCAGAAACAACACAAATACCTGATCTTTAAAATCCACATTAACTTTTATTTTAAATCTGCTAAATACATTTCAGGTGCATCAAAACAAAAAGTTTGCAGAGTATTATAGTTTGTTTTATTTAAAAAGCAGCCACAACCTAAGCAGAAAAGCTTGTCCCTTGCCAGCATGCTGCCAAAAAGGACCCTTGCTCCCTGCACAGAAGCAGTGGTCTTTCTGCAATAGTACAAGGATCTCAACTCATTTGTAGGCATGTGCAATTTTTTTCGGTCCAAGTATAAATTTTTGGTTATTTGGACAAATTTTCGGTTATTCGGAGATTCGGATGTATCCGAATCTCCAAATAACATGGTAACAAATTTTGTTGAAATGTGTTTAGTTTCAGTTTTCTAACAAAAGCTAAATTTTCAGAACAATTCGAATCGGTCAAAAATTGATCGACGATCTGAATTTTATTTAACCACTTCAAGTCCGGACACTTTTACCCCCTTCCTGTCCAGGCCAATTTTCAGCTTTCAGTGCTATCACACTTTGAATGACAATTGCGCAGTCATGCAACACTGTGCCCATATGAATTTTTTAGCATTTTTGTGAGAAAAAAAACTTTATTTTGGTGGTATTTATTCACCACTGGGATTTTTATTCTTTTTCTATATAAATGAAAAAGTCCAAAAACTTAGAAAAAGTGTTTTTTTCTTATATAATTTTGCAAGTAAATAAACTTTTTTCATAAATCTTGGCCAAAATGTATTCAGTTATCATTTTAGTAAAACAAAATAACCCAAATTAGTTTATACCCAAAAATTATAATTTTTCAAAAATACATTTTTATTTTATTTTTTTATACTATTTATGTTTTTTTAACATACTGTCACCCTAGCAGTACAGTGTCACCATAGTGACACAGTACTACGTGTGGGGGGTAATGAACATTTTTTTTTTTCTACACTGATTGCTTTTACACCCATAAAGGCTGTAAAAACAATCATTTCTCTTTCTCTCTGGCTGCATTCTTGCAGCCATTGAGGAATCCTGTGAGAGATGTGATTGGTCACAGCTTGTCACATGGTACAAGACTGTTGTGAATAGCCTTGTACCATGTGACCTCTGTGATCATTCACAGATTTCACACGTAGTAAGCAATGATGTTAGAAGTGACATCTTGTTTACTACTTTTCAAGTGATCACTGATTGGCCAATCAGTGATCACATGATCGGGACCTCACATAGAGGTCCTGTACAGCGATCGGTGTTCCGCTGTGTCCTCCGGACAGAGCGGGCACCGGATCGCGGTGCTGCGCACTTCCAGGGAGCAGGCACAGGCTAAAATGGCGGGCGCCGTTTATGAACAGCAACCCACTTCTGCACTGCTCCCTTCCAAACGTTTATATACATGGGCCGGACAGGAAGTGGTTAAAGAATAGCTGGTTGCTAAGGAGTGGGCCAACAAGCCAGTCGCAGCTTCCTTAACAACCAATGAGTCATCAGCTGTCAGTGGAGTCACCCCCTCACACCCACACCCACAACCACCGGGCCAGGGTTGTGGGTAAGAGGCTCTTGTCCTCATCAACATGGGGACAGGGCGCTTTGAGGGGGATCCCCCTACCCCAAAGCACCCCCTCATGTTTTAAATTTTGGCATAGGGTTCCCCTTAAAATGCAAAGGGCCTGGTATGGATGGGGGGGGGCACACAGTTTTGTTCGAGAATTTTTAATTGCTGGATAATTGTTTTTTACATGCAGCTGTCAGCAGGGAACCCCACGGACAGCTAATGAGTCATCGGTTGTTAACCTCCCTGGCGGTATGATTATTTCAGATTTTTGCTGCTGAAAGCAGTACCATTATTTTGCATGGAAATTTGGCGTTTTATATTGTAGGCCTGTAATTTTTAGGAATAACTCACTGAAATCTGTCCGAACAAGAGTCTAGTAAACATCCCGGGTATGATAAAACTTGAAACACAAAATCATAAATTATAATTTAATAAATAATCATAAAAAATAAATAATATAATAATAATAAATTTAATTCAATGATGTAATCAAACCAAAAACACTGAAATTTGAAATATAGCGCAAAGTTCGCACATCACTGAGCAAAGTCGCAAAATCGTTTGTGAAATGGTTTGATACAGTAATATTATACTATGTGATTTTAGTGAATGTCACTTTTTGTCATTTTCAAATTTCCCACCGTTCCGTCCCCCGTACGTCCCGACGCTCGCAGGGGATGGAACCCAGATGACAGATGCCGGCATCCGCCGGATTACATTGCCGGGGATACTGCAGGAGGGACATCGCGGGAGCACAGGACAAGGTAAGTGACCGAGGGATCGCAGAGCAGCACCGCATGGTATTCCCGAGTGTAGCTCGGGGTTACCGCTTGTGGTACTGAAACTTTACCCCGAGCTACACTCGGGAATACCGCGAGGGAGGTTAAGGATGGTTTGCCGGACTGCTCCTTAGCAACCGGTTATTCTTCAAATAGAATTCAGATCAGTCGATCAATTTTCAATCATTTCAAATTCTAAATTCCTAAAAATTAAAAATTCATTAGAAAATGAATAACGTTCTGCACGTCTGCACATTTGTTAGAAACTTCACTCTCAAAAGGTATTACAATATCCAAGCCAATAAATCAATAACCCAAGATTCCGATTCATTCAGTGACTCCAGGTCTATAGCTGGTGATCCCATGGATGAAAAAGCCATTTGCACTCTGTGTTCTGTGGAATGACAGTTAGGATAATAAGTTTGTCCTCTGGTCACAATATTTGGTTTCCTCCCCCCCACCATACACATGTCTCTCAGACTAAAGTGCATTTTCAACCCATGCCAAGGGCCCCTAGCTAGATTATTTTTATCAGGTTGTGTTATACAGAATTGACTCATGTGTAAGAAGAAGGCTTCTAAACCCCGGTACATCATGTGCAACTTGCACAATCTAGAACGTAAAGCTCTAGACAAACTTTCTAAAAATACAAGGGGGAGGTATTGTCTGCCAAGATAGGTTTAATTACCTCAAAGAAGCCTATCGCTTCAGACTATAACACATATATCAAACTGAGAAGTGGTCCCCTACCAGCATTTACAGATGAATCCAAAAAAGTCATATCTGAATCATTGTTAGATGGGGTCCTTACCAAGACAGAGGCAGATTTATTTTATAAAGATTTCTACAAGATGCCATAGTTCCACCACCTGTCCACAGTGCATAAAGATCTCCGCCATCCACCAGGGTGCCCAATAGTAGCTTTCATGGAAAGCATTGCAACTGGCTATTCCCTTTACATCGATAATTTTCTCCAGCCTCTGGCACAATCCATATCTTTATATATCCGTGATGGGACCCACCTCCTGGAGCTCCTTCCCCCATACACTTGGGAACCCTCATATCTGTGGGTTTTTCTAGACGTTTGCTCCTGCTACACCTCCATACCCCATGAGGAGGACCTTCAAGTGGTTTTACATTTTTTTGGCTGGTGATCCCCTCATAAATATAAAAAACAGGCCAACTTAATCTTGGCCGCTACTAAATTCTGCTTGGAGCATAATTATTTTCAGTTTGAGGGAGACTATTATCTTTAAAAGATGGGCACGGCTATGGGGGTAAATTTTTCCCTAAGTTCTGCTAACCCAGTGGTCGGCAAGCCGCGGCTCGCGAGCCACATGCGGCTCTTTACAAGCTTAAATGCGGCTCTGTGTGCCGGGCACCCGCTCCCCTCCCTCCCCCCGGACGGGCGTGTGCCGGGCGTGTGCCGGGCGGCCCGCCCCCTCCCCTCCTCTCGGACGGCCGCCCGCTCCCCTCCCTCCCTCTCGGGCGGCCGCCCCAAAAGTCAGGACTCTGCAGCTGTCAGGATGTAGGCGGGGCAGCCAGGATGTAGG